TTTTCTTTTCTTTTTCTTTTTTTCTGGAACTGGGAACTGAACCCAGGGCCTTTGCACTGAGCTATATTCCTCAACCCTTGTTTTATTTTTTAGTTTGAGACACAGTCTCGCTGAGTCACTAAGTTGCCCAGGCTGGGCAACTTGAACCTGAGATCCTCCTGCCTCAGCCTCCTGACTGCACACTTGGCTCCACCATGATGGTTCTGCCTCATTGCAGGTCTACCGAAGCCCACTGACCAGAGACTGAAACCCGGAGCCTAAGTAACCTTTTCCTCCTTTAAGTTGATCCTCTCAGGTATTTTGTCACACCAATGGATGCAAACAAACCTCCCTCGGATAAGAATGCAGACCGTGCACCCACCCCATAGCACCAGCCATCCCGGACTTCTACGCCACCCCTGCACTCATGGCCTGCTCCCACCACACCTGCCTTGAACTGTGAGCCCCCGAGCTGCAGTACGCCCCTCCCCACCCACATGCTGTGTTGGGCAGAGGCCAGTGATCAGGCCCAAGAGTTTGTATAGCATGGTGATCATGGTTTAAATCCCAGCGCTAGCACTTAGCAGCCTTGTGACCTTGGACAATCACCTCACCTTTCTGTGCCTCAACTTTGCATCTGTAGAATGGGGACAAGAGTGATGCTGACAGCTCACAGAGGTGCTGTGGGAATTAACCAAGTCATGGGTGAGGTGTTCAGAGGCGTTTCAGCTACAAGGTCAGCCACAGCAGCACAATTCCAGCAGCACCTGTACAACACCATCTCTGTCTCCAGCTGACGCTGCTAGTGAGCAACCTCATGCTTCCCCCTGGGGTCCGGCAAGGGCAGCAGCAGCATGGCACATGGGCATCAGACTGGAGCCTTCCTGAGATACCAAGAGCTCTGAACCCTCCCATCATGGGCAGAGGAAACAGGTGCAGAAGGGCACAGGGACTTGCTCAGTCACACAGCAGCGAAGGGGCAGACAGAGTGGGGCCCCCAAATCCTGCTCCTTCCACAGCACCCGCAGCCCCCAAGGAATGGGAGATGTCAGAGCAGGGGCTGGGAGACGCTGCACCCTCTCCTTGCCTGCCCCTGGCTGTCAATCAGGGACACTGGCCGCTGCAGACCTCCAGCCCTGCTGCTGAGCCCAGCAACCCAGTGCAGAGATCTGCGTGCTCCGAGCTCTTTGCAGGGAAGGTGACAAAAAAAGAAAAACTAGAACAGCCCCGCTAAGCTGAAACGTGGAAACGTTCTCCTCAGAGGGGAAGGGAAATAAAATTTGATGAACCTCCGCATAATGTTCACGTTATGAATGTGCAAAGCGATATCAGGCACATACGCTGGCAGGCATTCATCTTGGAGCTGGAGCTGCTGGGCGCCGCTGGAACTGGGACACAGCACACAGCCGCTGCCCACAGTGGGGGACAGACAGGTCTGAGGCATTTCCTCCCCTCAGATGCGGCCGGAAGCTGATCACCCGCGGCCCAGGTGACAACTGCTACAGCGTCAACCAGGCGCTCGCAGCGCTCAGGCTGTTATGTTCCCGCTACAAACACTAAGCACCTACTCTGAGACCCGGCTGTGCTGGCCATCACCACCTTCCATGGCTTAGGCAAGGTGACCCTGGGTGCTAGGTTACCCTGCACTCCAGGCCGCAGATGCCTAGCCTGGGGCTGACTTCCCACCTTGCTCTGGGCAATCATGTCCTCCCTTCTGGGACTTTGAAAACATAGTAGTGGTGTGCAAATTTAAACCAAGTGAGGAGGGACAGGTTCCTTGACCACTGAGCCCAGGCTGAATGAGAGGAGTACTCCAGCTGGGGGCCGCAAAGCACGTGCAAAGGCCCTGAGGTGGAGGTATGCTTGACACCTTCAAGGGACAGAAAGGAGCTCACAAGGAAGAGGAAAGACATGGTGACAGTCAGAGAAGGCTCTCTAACCATTAGAAGGGGACCCCCATGGCAATCTGGTCTCCTTCTGCTTGAAACCCTCCTGCGTGCTCCAAGGAGTCAGCTGCTCCGTGCCCAGCCCTGCAGCATCCTTCCCCTCTCCTTCCCTGCGACTCTGAAGGGCTGACTGCAGGCCTCCGTCTCTCCTGGAGGCAGGAAGCTGGGTCTGCAGCCCGCAGCCACATCAGCTCTGCCAGCCACGGCAGAGGTCCATGTCTTGCACCTTCCAGCTATGAGGTCACAGGTGGCCCCGTGCTGAGGGTCGAGTTCTCAGCAGCAGGAAGCCCCATCTGCACAGAACCAGTGAGTGCTGCACAGATTCAAGCAGCCTCCCGGGTTTCATCCTGACTCTGCCTCCTCTGTCAGGGTGGCCAGACCCAGCCGGGACATTGCCGCCTCTGAATTTCCTTGATCTTGGAGACAGCTCCTCAGACCTGGTGCCCAACCCTCTTCCCCATCCTTGGGCAGCTTCAAGCATGTGTCTTTGCTTCTCTGAGGCAAATAGATCTTCCTGCAAGGAGAGGTCATGAACGTAAAATCAAACCCCCGGGGCACCAGGCCTGGCACACAGCGGGGCTCCACACACAGCGGCCGTAGCTGGCTCTGGCTTAGGATGGCTGACTTGCTCTCCTATCTCACGAGGGTATGCTGCAGGTTGGGGTATGACACAGCGGCAAAGCACAGACTTCGCACTGCAAGGCCGTGGGATCCATCCGCGGCACTACCACGTAAAAAAATGTTGGCTCAAAAGACGTAGGGAGCAGGGTGCCCAGGCCCAGCCCTGACCTTCTTGGACCCTACAGGTATAGCGGCCCAGGCAGGACAGGCCAGGTGGGTGAGATGGGAGCCAGAGCCGCCCTGTTCCCGTCCCTGATGCCATCAGTCGGAGGCAGCTGGAGCACCAGGCCATGGTTGCGTGGGACAGACCTGTGCTTCTCTTAGCCCAGAGAAGACAGAGCAGCTGCAGAGGTGCAGGTGGACTACACAGGGAGCCGCTGTGGCAGCTGAGCCACAGGCGCACCTTGGATGGGGCCAGGAGAGAAGTAGAGAGTGAAGGGAACACAAAACAGGTGCAGTGCTCAGTCCCTGGAGGGAGGCTCAGAAACCCCTCAGGTGTCCTCATCAGAACAAGGCACCTGGGAGGAGCTCTGCCTAAGGATATCACCAGCTTCTGAAATCCTCCCATCCATCCACTCATCCATCCACCCATCCATCCTCCCATCCATCCTCCCATCCATCCACCCATCCATCCATTTATCCATCTGTCCATCCATATATTTATCCATCCACCCATTCATCCACCACCCATCCATCTACCCATCCATCCACCTATCCATCCATCCATCCATCCATCCATCCACCACCCAATCACCCATCTATCCATCCATCCGTCCACCCATACATCCACCAATCTAACCATCCATCCATCCATCCATCCACACATCCATCAATCCACCCATCCTTCCATCCACCCATCCATCCACCCATCCATCCACCCATCCACCCATCCATCCACCCATCCATCCACCCATCCATCCATCCATTTGTCCATCCATTTATCCATTTATCCATCCACCCATCTATCCACCACCCATCCATCTACCCATCCACCCATTCACCCACCCATCCATCCACCCATCCATCCACCCACCCATCCTCCATCTACCCGTCCATTAACCCATCCATCTATTCATCTATCCATCCATCCATCCACCCATCCACCCATCCATCCACTGATCCATCTGCCTATCTGGCCTTCCATTCATCCCTCTGTCCCACTATTAGTCTATTTACCTATCTCACTCACCCCTCCACATACATGCTTTTCCATTCACCCAACTAACCACCCATCCATTCATCCACTCACCCATTCACCTACTTTTCCAACCACTCAACTATGTATCTACAAGTCCATCCATCCATCCATTCCCCTTTCTGTTCTTCTACTCATCCTTTCTTCCTTCCTTACCTCTTTCCCTCCCTCTATTAATCTACTTACCTACTCATCTGTGCTTCTGCTCACCTACACACTCAACTAACCATCCATCCATCCATCCACCTATTCATCTACCCATCCACCCATCCATCCATCCATTCATCCACCCACCCACCCACCCATCCATCTATCCATCCCCCATCCATCCACCCATTCATCTATCCATCTGCCTGTCTTTCCTTCCACTCATCCCTCCCTCCATCCATTAACATTCCCACCTAATTTTTTTCTCGTAGCAGGAATCAAACTCAGGACCTTGTGCTTGCCAGGCAGGCACTTGTGCCACTGAGCTATATCCCTGGCCCCTCCACCTACTTATCCACCCCTTTGCTTAACTACTTATCCACCCATCCAAATAACGATTCATCTTCCATCCATCCATCCACTCATCCATCTGCCTCCTTATTCTTCTACTCTTCCTTCCCTCTCTCTATTAGTCTATCCACCTCTCTACCTGTCTATTTATCCTCCCATGCACCTGAGCACCCACTCAACCATCCATCCATCCATCCATATATACATCACCCATTAATCCATCCATTCATCCATCCGTCCATCCATCCACTTATCCAGCCCTTCACCTATCCACCCCCATCCATCTGTTTATCCATCCAGCTATTATGTATTACTATGTCCTCTGTTCCCTGGTGGAATCTGAAGACCCAGGAGATCAGATACCGCCTTCACCTTGAAGAGCCATTGTCCTCTAGCACCTGTGCACTGCTGGGTCCCATTGCTGGGTGCTCTTTTCACTTAGTGCTGAAAAATCATCCAAGAAGGGAGTCTTGGGTGGGCCGTTGTGTCCTAGCTCAGGCAGCACGGTGCTGAACGGCAAGCATTCCAGTTTGGTTCCCTGCTGGGTCTCTTGTGGTCCAAAACCTCCATTGCCCCAGAAATTCCCACACAATAGGTTCAAACCCCACCTCCCACAGCCCGTCCCTTTGGCCCCACAGCCCCCCAAGACACCTGCTGGGCCGCTCCCTCCAGGTTTTTCAAAGGGGCCCTGTGACTTCGGAGGCCAGGCCTCGAGCTTCAGACTCCCAGGGGTGGCCACAGGTGACGCCATGTGCACTGACCTCTCCCGGAAGTACTTGATGGCCTCTGGGTCTATGAAGGTCGGCTCCTCCCGGTAGCCCTGCTCAAATACCTTGCGCTTGTGCCGGAACTCAATGACTGTCTTGGTGTAGGAGTTGAGGGTGGTGACAGAGGCTGCCATGCAGCAGGTGAAGGAGCCCCACGCCAGGCTGCGAGAGAGCAGGAGAGAGATGCCACCGTGAGCGTGGGTGGGGGCAGGAAATCCCCCAACCACCCAACATTCACTCGTCCCTGCTGGGCTGCCTTCACGGGGCCGGGCCGTGAGCACTGCTGCCTAGAGAAGAGAAAGATTTGGTGGCTGCTCCCTGCAGTCTTGTCTGGAGCAGGAATAATCCATACACTGGGATCCAGATGACTGAGTCACCGTGGGGAGGTAAGAAGGTGGGCTGGCGTCAGTGACTACTACCAGGACACAGTGATGCTCACGCTGAGACTGGGAGGATGAGGGAAAACTGGCCAGGGAGGGGCATCCCAGGGGAAAGGACCCGCGTGTGTACAGGCACAGAGTGGGCTCAGGAGAGAACATCCACAGACCATGGGAGGTCGGGGTGCTGGAGATGACGATGATGGAGAAGGAGACCAGGGCAGCTCATTTTTCATGAGCTGCCTTTGTTCACGTGTGGCCCTGGGCGAGATCCTAAGCCTTTCTGCCCCCTATTCCCAGCCCATTTCCATGGACATAGCGACGGCTTAGCTCTGTCTTGGGCGTTTTCACAAACTGAAGGACGTGACCCATGAAGCACGTGTTAGAACATCGCTGACACGTGAGAGGCTCACGGGAACAGCTTGCTCTCCTTACTGTCCTCACTGTGCTGACATGCTTGCCACCGCTTCTCTATAACTTGATTTCCAAGCGCTCTCTCTGGAAGGTAAAGTTAATCGACACCACACTTCTCTATCCCAGTAAGGATGCCCGGCTGCCCTTGCATGGCGTGCAGACAGGGCCCAGCACAAAGCTGAAGACTGTCCTAACCATACCTGGAAAGCAGGAAGGGTAGGGACAGAGCTAGGAGGCTCAGCTGGGTGCGTTTCGGTTCTGGAAATGGCCTCCTGCCTGATGCCTGTAACTAAGACTGCACAGCCATGTTTAGTACCAGGAATGGGGTGCCTGCTTGGCTCTAGTTACACCTGGCCTGGTTTCCAGATCTCTGCTCTCTAGGCTTTGTCTCAGTGGCTGACTGGTTTTGTTCAAATCAAAGGCCCAGAGTTGTTATCCCAGCTCTGCACTGCTGAGAGCTCCGGGCCTCCCCTCCTGCTAGCCACCCACTGCCCTGCATCCCCTGTGGTCCCACCACCCTGACCACGGCTGCTCTCTCTCGGCCCCAAAGACCCACAGACAGAAAGAAAAAGGACATCTGAAGGTTCTGCCTTTCTCAAAGGGATCTTTAATAATCGTCTATTTCCTCCAATGCAAAACCCATTAATAAACTCCCCAGACTCTTTTATGCTAAATAGTTAATTTAGATTTTCCAGAAGCCCTGAGTGTCTATAGGGATGTCATCCCGTGCCTCTAAGAACTTTCCTACCACTAAAGGATCCAGTATGTGACTCCCCCATCGATGACTGGATAAAGGCTGGTCACCTAACCAAAGCTGGTCTGACCAGATGCTGTTTCCTGAGCAGTGGAGCTGAACATCCTAACTCAGTTAGGTATTCCTCTTTGCACTAGTGTTACGGAAACTCAGACATTGAGGGTGGAGAAGGGTAGGAGAGACTTACTCTAGGATTCCAGTGTATCTTGACTTTGCCTGATCAGCAACCACTGCTCCTTCTTTGCAGCGTCAATTCATCCCAGCCTCTAGGGTAAGCACTGACCTATGCCCAGCCAATGAGAGCACTGCGTCCTCTGACCTCAGTCACTGGTTCAGGCGTGGTCACGTGACCCAGGTCAAGACAAGGAGACACAATCCAGGGGTCTGGCTGAAGCCACGTGGGACTAGGACTCATCTGTCTTCTGGGCGTTAATCTGCTGGCCTTTGAGCCCGGAGCTGTCAGGGACCATCTTGCCACCATCCAGCCTGACAACAAAGCTGACTCCAGAGAAAGCAGGCCGGGAAGGAGCCAGAGTCTTCATCCCTGCACTTGTCAATCATGCTCCTCATTTTGGTTTTCCCCTCGTAAGTCGATTTGAACTGGGTTTCTGTCGCGGGCAACAAAAGTTCTTACATAATTACTTCCCATGACTTCCCTTCTTTTGCATTCGCGTTTCAAGTGAACTTCTGGTCTTTAAAGTCGGAGATCTTGAAGTGAATTTCTAGCCTTTACATGCAGAGATTTGAACCACGACCAAGTCTGACTTCCAATCCAGTCAGGAGATGGAGCAGGAAGTTCTCAGGCACTCAAACTGGAGAGCCGAGCAAAGTACAAAGTCCTACGGGGTGGGGGAGTGACTTCTAAGGAATCGGGACGCAGATGCCAGGAGGAACCATGGGTTCTGGGGAGGCCAAGCCAGCATACTCAGGGAAGCCCAGAACCAGCTCGCTCCTCCATTCTCCCCTGCTCACACCAGTACCCCGGAGTGAACAAGGATCTTTGCTCCGTTGCTCGGGAAGGGATATCTGATTGGACCAGCTTTAAGGTGTGGTGGGGAGTTTTCCCGGGGAGGATGCGGGTTTGCTAAACCCCAAGGTTCCCAGAAACAGAGGCTGCAGAGATGGAGCAGAAGCAGACAGACAACTGCCGGACAGGTCCAAAGCCAGAAGACATGTGCTGCCTTTTCATCTGGTGTACATAGGAGATGTAGAGTTCAAATCACCTGCTACCCTGAGCTTATTCCTGTTCCAGGCACATGGCCTCCTTTCTGCTTCCAAAATGCCAATCTGACCCTCAACCCTACTGCCCACAGCGGGATCCTTGGACTTGCTACTTTCCGAGATTTTCCCAGGTTCTCTCTCCCCAATCCCTGGCAACCACTGATCTGTTCTTTATTTCTATAATTTTGCCACTTCAAGAATTTTACTATGAGTGGAGCCAATACAGCGTATATGCTTGGGCCCAGCTTTTTTCCATTCAGTATAATTCTCTGGAGCATCCTCCAGGATTTTGGGTTGTGTGTGTGTGTACTATCAGTTTCTTTACATTGCTGAATAGTATTCCTGCCAGCAATGCATGAGTTTCTCCCCATAGCCTCACCAGCATTTAGTGATGTCTCTAGTTTTTATTTTAGCTGCTCTGATGGATGTGTAAGAATAATTCATTGTGATTTAATTTGTATTTCCCCAATGGCTAATGGTATTTAACAAATTTTTATTTATTGACTTACTATCTATACGGCCTCTGTGGTAAAATGTCTGTTCACAACTTTTGCCCTCTCTAATCAGAAGGATTTGTTGTTCTTGTTGCTGTTTATTGTTGGGTTTTCAGCATTCTTTGTATATACTAGATATTAGTCCTTTGTCAGATATGTGGCTTACAATTATTTTCTCCCAATATCTAGCTTTTCTTTTTAACTTCTTAATAGGATCTTTCACTGAACAAAAGTATTTAATTTTGACAAAATCCAATTGATTCAATTTTCCCTTTATGTTTTTGATTGATTAGAGTCTAAGAACTTTTTGTCTAGCTCTGGATCCCAAAGATTTTCTACTATATTTTCTAAACGTTTTGTAGATTTACATTTTATAATCTGGCTGTGGCTCATTTTGAATTAATTTTTATAAAAAATGTGTAGTTTAAGTCAAAGATGATTTCTTTAGTGCATGAGTGTCTAGTAGTTTCAGCATTATTTGTTAAAAAAAAACAATCCCTCTTTCACGGAATTGATTTCCACATTTGTCGAAACTTAGTTGGACATATGTGTATGGGTCTATTTCTTAGACTTTATTCTATTTCATAATCTATAGCTCTATCCCTCCACTAATATTACACAATCTGGACTGCTGTAGCTATAGAATAAGTCTTGAAGTAGGGTACAATGATTCATCCCCTTTTATTCTTCTTTTATAAATTTGTTTCAGTTATTCTGTTTTCTTTGTCTTTCCATATAAATTTTAACACTGTGGGATTGCTTTAGGTCTGAGACCTAACCAGTGATTATAAACACATTATACATTAACATCTTTTTTTAACCTATCATTGGCAAAGCATGCTATTTTGTCCACCCCTTCCCCTGTCCCTTACACCCACTAATGTCTAACTACCTGTCTAACGCATACTATAAAACAATTTATTTCTTATTATATACTTAGTAAGGAAGCTCTCAAAGTGCACTTTTATTTGATAATGTCTAATAAACAGGAACTTTTTTATTATTTCCACTTCACCACTGTAAGAAGCCATAGTGATGGCTGTTATCCAACTGGACCTCTGCAGAGTAGAATAATGAAGTGGAAATTGGCAGCCTAAAAATCACTCTTTGTCAAGAAATCAGCCCTGAGAGAATTCTGGAACAAATCAGTCCTGAAATTGATGCAGTCATGACATAGTCAGAGACCTCCCCTGGGTGGGGAACAGTCAAATCCCAGGCCTTTCTCTTCTCATTAAAAGCATTATTTGTTCTGGGCCTAGTGACACACATCTACAATCCAAGCACTTGGGAGGCTGAGGCAGGAGGATCGCTATGCATTTGAGTCTAGCCTGGGCTACACAGTGAGTTCAAGGCCCACCTAAACTACATAGCATAATCCTGTCTCAAAAACAAAAACAAACAAGCAAACAAAAGCATTATTTGTGGATTTTTTTCCTGGGGCTCAGGGACTTAGCCATTTTTGCTATAAAGCATGACTCTGCACCTGGGTATACAGACGCCCAGCCAGGTAACCAAAAACAGAAAAGTCTAGAACTTCACTCTGTGTCCCCTATTACTGTATATCTGAGTGAGATCTCCTCTCAGTTCTGCATTTGGGTATGTCGATCATTTAGAGAGTGTCTCTCTAGATGCTGGCAGGACAGGCCTGGTTCGCTCAGAATTTACATGATCCCATCCACCTTCAAGACTGAGAACATCAAGACTAGATGTTTACAGGGACATTCAGCTACAAGCAGAAGTCTAGCCATTTTCTAAACCTGTGATCCATTGAATTCCAGGAAAATTGAAGCCCATGTGATGGAAACGACCATAAACAGACGGTGCTTCCATGGGAACAGAATCACCTCTCAGCCATGAGAATTCCAGAGCTAGGACACCAGGTCTCTGATAGTGATAAACTGG